CCCCTCACCACCCCCTCACCACCCCCTCACCACCCCCTCACCACCCCTCACCGCCCCCTCACCTGGCGTCGTCGTCGCGGGCGATGAGAAGGCGCATGTGGCTGGTGGCCGACGCCGTCCTCAGGATGTCCACGGCCCTGGAAAACACGGACACAGCACGTGGCTGGCTCACAGCGCTTCCCCTCCAGCCACACAGCAGAGCTCATGTAAACTGGGCAGAGACCCGTGGCCTGGGCAAGCCCTGTCAGCAGCTGAGTGACCAGTTCTGCCCTTGGAACAGACACATTCCCTGTTCTGGCTGTGGGGCCGGAGAGCAGCCAGCTCACATCCCGATTTTCCCACTTCTGCAATAAATGAGAAGTCCCTGATAACAAAACTCAGGGGATACCTGTGGTGGTGAGCAAATACCTCCCAGCACACCCATGGCAGGGGTTTGGAACAAGATGGTCTTTAAGGTCCCTCCCAACTCAAACCATTCCATGATTCTATAATCCCCTCCCTGTGGAAGTTTCCATCTCAGGCACGGCCCCTTTCTGGTTCAAAATACAGGTATTCCCATGGGAGCCAGAGCAGTGTGCCGGGGCCAGGCACAGCCTCCCACAGCCACAGAGGTGTCCTCAGGGACTTCCACCATCAAACCCAGCTGCTCTGGGGCTTTGGGAGCAGGACAAGCTCCTTATGCTGCTTCTCAAGCATCTGTCCAGCACACCCCGCAGGCATTTAAGGCAGACAGTGGCCTAGCCCCATGCTTAGTGGGAAAGGGGAGCCCCAAGAGTGTTGTTGCTCCTCTGGAGCCATTAATTATTTTCTTGGTGGGGAGCTGAGGGGCTGGATTGTGGCTCCACAGGGGATCCCCCACACAGAGCAGCGTTGTCAGGCTTAGGCTCCAGCTAATCTCCTGTTCTGGGAGCTGCAGGGCTGGCTGGGAAGCTGGAGCAGATGGAATGGGGGTGCCAGGAGCTGTGTAAAACCCCAGTATTTGGGGGAACTGTCTGAATATCTCACAAATACTGTTTGGGTACACCGATCTATTTTTATATCAAATCTTTTTGGTCTGAGAATTCCCAACTGGGCTCTTGGGAACAGCACAGACAGAGTGATTCCCTGGTGTCCTCCATGCAACCCGCAGCCTAAGCCACTTCATAGAATTACACAAAAACAACAGGAATGCCAAATTTCCATTTGGATATGGTACCTCTCACTTGTAACCCCAATTAGGGAATCTCCATTGACCTCCAGGATCTGGTCTCCTGGCTGCAGGCGCCCTAGAAAAAAAAAACTAATGGATAGAAACTCCAGAAAGTACAGCTTGGAGGGACTGGGAGAGGCTGGGCAGTTCCTGCCTTTGCCCAGAGACAGGATGAAAAATGCATTGGTCCTTCTGGAGATGCTCGTCCAACCTGTTTTTCAGGATGTCCAGAGATTAAGTTTCTGCAACCTCCCGGAGCAACCTGTGCCAATGTCCCAGCACTTCCTCTGCTCCAGGAAGTTACGAAAGTAAATACCAAAAAATGCAATGAAGCTTTCGCTTAATTCAGTTTGAGGTCACATAGTTCAGTTGGAGGTCAGGTAGAAAACCATGACTGGCACTTCCACCTGTTCTGGATTTATTTTCCTTTAGTGGATGGAAAAATGATGTAACATTTGGAAAAAAAAATATATCTTTTTGGCTTAAGTTCTAACAGGTGAACTCTGCAGACCCCTAATACCTACTTATTTGAACATATTCAGAATTAAATCAGTGACCCAGAGCAGAGCTGAATTTGCAAAAGGATCTCAGGTAATTTTGGGGCTACAGGCAGTGAGTGGCAGGTGGGGAAGGACAGGCAGCCAAGTGAAGTTCTGGTGTGGCAGAGATGGGAATAGCTTTAGAGACACAAAGCAATTGTACATGTGCTCAGAAGCCAATCCAAGGCTGCCACTGAATGTCAGAAAAACTGCCACGCTAGAAAAATACCCCCACCACTGGAAAATCTATGAGGAAGCACCTGAAATGTCCCACATTTCCCACTGAAATATCTAATATGGCAATGTACAAAATAAATACACTGGATTGGGGCTATTTCCAGACTCTGTGGTGCTCTGCACTGTGTTTAACTCACCATCTGCATAAGCAACACCCCCTGGAAGGATCCTCTTGACATAAACTCCATATTCTTCTCCAGTGAGTTCCTTGATGCCACCGATGACCTTAATACCTGGAGGGAAAGCAGAGCCCACAACACAAAGGGAGGAGAATCAGTTTCCATGGGCAGTCTCAAAGGGATGCAACCCCAACCCGAAGTTCACGGAATCATGGAATGGTTTGGGTTGGAAGGGACCTTAAAGTTCATCCAGTCCCACCCCCTGCCATGGACAGGGACACCTCCCACCAGCCCAGGTTGCTCCAAGCCCCATCCAACCTGGCCTGGGACACTTCCAGGGATGGGGCAGTCACAGCTTCTCTGGGCAACCTGTGCCAGGGCCTCACCACCCTCACAGACAACAATTCCTTCCCAACATCCCATCTAACCCTGCCCTCTGGCAGTGGGAAGCCATTCCCCCTTGTCCTGTCCCTCCATCCCTTGTCCCCAGTCCCTCTCCAGCTCTCCTGGAGCCCCTTTAGGCCCTGGAAGGGGCTCTCAGGTCTCCCTGGAGCCTTCTCTTCTCCAGGTGAACCCCCACAGCTCTCCCAGCCTGGTTCCAGAGCAGAGGGGCTCCAGCCCTTGGACCATCTCCATGGCCTCCTCTGGACTCACTCCAGAAGCTCCAAATCCACCAGTGACAGGAAAGGATCTGCTTCTGCCGTGGATGCCTCAGCCTATGCTCATTTCTCTGATAAGAACTGTCATACAAAACATTCCTGGTGACAAGGAGTTTCTGCAGGAGACCCACTTCCAGGTGCAACATCTGGATAAGCCCCAGGTTCACTGGGGTGGTGGGGACACCCCCACTGCCCACCCTCCTGCCAGGCCCCAGCAGCATCTCCAACACAGCCTTTGATGCTGCCACCGATGGCAGAGCTGAACATCAGGAGCAGCCACTTTTATCAGTGTTTGGACCCAGAAGGAGCACCAGAGGCAGGAACCCGGGCACAGAGATGACCCTGTTGCTGCTCTGAACCCTCTCATTGCAGCAGCACAGCTCAGGTGCCCTGTGGCACTTTGGCAAAGGGCTCCTGCTCCACACGGCCACCCCTCCAGCCACGGGACCTTTCCCTGCTGGAGAGCATAAGCTGGCTGGCAGGAAAAGGTCCAAGAGACTTATTTATCCAGGGCTCATTAAGTCCTACTTCGAAGATCCAGGCTGTGGACAGAAGGATTAAAAAGCCTGGCTTTAATTAACAAATCTCCCCTGAGAGCCGCCGGTCAGGCACTTTGCTGCTCTGGCCAGGAGGGCAGGCTGGGGACAGGCTGTGCCACGGAGAGAGGCACTGCCAGTGCCAGCCCAGCCTCACCCTCCAGCTGCTGCCCGGGCTGATGGGCTGCCCCGAGCCTTGGTGAGGTCCTGGGTGCACAGAGTGACCTCGTGCAAGAAACTCCTGCCCCCGGGGGAGCAGAGCACAGCTGCTTCCCCAGACACGAGACCCCCTTCTGAAACAGGCAGGAGGGAAGAGGAGCAGACCCTGAATCGGGACTGCTCAGGACACAGAACTATTTCCATCCCTGTTTCCTTTCCTGTCTTAACCCAAGCTCTGCTTTAACGCCCCTCACAGTTTCCATCTGTCTCTAAGGAAAGATCTAGTCTCTTAAATCACCTTTATATTAGAATTAGATTATTATAATTTTCCAGTTCGTTCCTATGTGCACCAATTGCTGCTTTTCCCAGGCTCAAAATCCCAGCTCTGTCTGAGTGCTGAGTTTATTCTCTGGGCTTAATGCATTAACCAGGCACCTGTGAGGAGCTGTTTTACTGATGGAACAGGGAACTCACAGCAGAACACCTCAAGGATAGGCACTAACTTTGTTCTCCATTGGATTTTAAAAGAAATTCACTCAAATTGGAAATATTGCCCAAAAGAAGTATCTCCAAGCAACACAAGCCTCCCCAAGGCAGGAGGAGCAGGTCAGACACCTGTAAACCAAAACAGAGAGGAGATGCTGTAGTCCCAAAGCCCAGGGACAGAAGGTAAAACCTGCTTATTGCCCAGGATGCTCGGCTAGAAAACTTCTCCCCTCCCAATGGGACCAGAGTGGCTGCTACTGGGCTTTGCAGAGACACCCTGGCAGCAGAGTCACTCTTGGAATGGGTTTGGGAAACCCCTGGCATCGGGGGTCCTGCAGAGGCAAAGTCCCATCAGTTTCCCTGGATGGGGAGAACACTGGAAGTCCAGCCTAAGCCAAGGTGATGACTCAAGAAGTCATCCCACATCTTTCTTCACATCAGAACATGAAGTAATTGTGAATGATGAGGCACACTGGACAAATTGTGTAAAAATCTGCATCTGTGGAGGCTCAGCCTCAGCATCTCCCAGCAGCCCACGGGACCTGCGTGTGAGCGGCACCTCTGCCGAGGCATCAGGTCAATAATGACTCATTTTCCTTTTGTGTCTGCAAATCAATTGTAATAATGCCTTAATATAGCTGAAGTATCTACAAATCCTCTTTTATCCCCAACGATGTCATGAGAAAATCCGATCTTGTTATTAAAATCAGCGATTACTCACAGTATTGCTCCAGACACACTCAAACTTTGATGGGGGGAGGGAAAAATCCCTAGGTTTTAACTCCTTTGTTGGGAAAGCAGCTGGGTGCTGCCAAGCTCTGCCCACGCTGCCCTCCCGCCCACCACCTCACCAAGGAGGTGCTGTGGGTGCCAGTCCTGCCCCCTAAAATGCACTGAAGGGTCCCCACCAGGGCAAGAGGTCTCACCCCTTCCAGAGCTCAGACCAAGCCATGGGACAGCCCAGGACTGATGGCAGCAAACCTGAATCATCAAGGATTTTGGTGGCAGCACCCTGGGAGTATATTTTCTTATCCATTTTATTAACACAAAATTTCTGTTTGGGACCCAGTGTAGGTAAATAACGGCTCCCTAATTGTCACAGCATCAAAGTCCTGGTATAATGCTTATTAAGTCATACTTAGGGCCAGATAATCTAGCCTATTTTGGATCCCTCTATTTAATCTTCCCTTTCTGGCAAAGGTCCTGGAGTTGGTGCCCATGTCCCCAGTATTTTCTCTTTTGCAAAATAAAGTTTGACAGGAAAACTCCAGATGAACTTACTGACCGAGGTGATGTTTTCTTTAGACTCTGAACGATCCTATAAGTTTCTTAAAGACCCTCAAGCTTCTCTGGTGCCTCTAATCCCGCTCCCACTAATGCCATAGTCGCAGTTCTCAGGCTATAATCTCACCTGCTCCCAGCTCCCTATTCCACAGGTCAGGGGGTGTCCTGGCTAATCTGGTTGTTTAGCCCAACTGGGATCATCTCTGGAGCATCCTGACCCCACCGGCTGCTGCATGGAGAGGCTGCTCTGTGCCTAAGCCAGCAATGTTCAATTACATTTCCCTTAATCCCTCTGTTGATCTTGTGGCCCTGGCCAGCTTTTTCTGTCTGGAGGAAGGGACAGATTGGAGGTGAATCACTCACTGCCCTGTCCTAAGAAGATGAAGGTCAAGATAATGGGATCTCAGTGTTTCTGAGAAATGCTTCTTAATCAGCACTTCCCTTTGATGGCTATTCCGTAATTCGAGGTGCAGGTTTTAGGAGATGCCAGTAACCCCTTTGAACTTCTGCTGAAGTTCACATGTGGGTTTCTACCTAAAGCCACAGAGCAACAGACCCGGGGCCAAACGCTGACCTGCCACGCCAGCACCGAGTGGGTGATGCTGCTCTAGAGGAACTCTGCTGGAACAACACCTGCATCTAACCAGGAAACTCATGAATGAGCTTTTCTCCCAAAAAAACCCCATACTCTGAGCAGCTACACCTACAGCAGACACGGGGATCCTGCAAGCACCACTTGGTCCTCAGCAGAGAGTGATGGTTAAGCTGCCAGAGGACAGGGTTAGTTGGGATACTGGGGAGAAGTTCTTTGCTCAGAGGGTGGTGAGGCCCTGGCACAGGTTGCCCAGAGAAGCTGTGACTGCCCCATCCCTGGAAGTGTCCAAGGCCAGATTGGACAGGGCTTGGAGCAACCTGGGCTAGTGGAAGGTGTCCCTTCCCATGGCAGGGGGTGGAACGAGATGAGCTTTGGGGTCCCTTCCAACCAAACCAGTCTGTGATTTCTGGGGGATGATCCCTTGTCTTGGGTGTTTCAAGCCTCTCAGAAGAGGATGAAATCAGGTGATGATGGCATTAGGAAATCCACATTGTTACACCTTCCTGCAGCGCATCACAAGATGCTGTAGAGGGTCTGCAAGAGCTTGCAAAGACCCTCTGGCCACAAACTGAGGAAAAGGAGAGCAGTTGGAGCATGTGACGTGGCTCACGGTGGCTGCCACATCTGTGCACCCCTTCCAGAGGTCAGGCTTTCCTGGGTCTCCTCCTTCAACAAGCTAATCTAACCCAGCAGCTAAAATCTCATCAACTCAACCAAATCCACCTCTGGAGATTAAAATATCATATTCACCAAGAAAAGACATTCTCCTGAGCTCCTGTGAACCTCATGAACCTCGTGAGCAAGGGAAGAGTCAGCAAAGCTGTTTCTCCATGGCAGAAAGTCCCGTTAGCCCAGAGCTGGAAACAGCCAATAATTAATCTATCATTAATCTCAGGGCTCAGGAAACCTGAACTTGTTTCTCTGGTAAGTCTGGTTTCTCAGGAAGGTCCCCAAATGGTCACAGAGACCTCACAGAGGGGCCAGCAGCTGCTCTGCAGGAGGATGGGCTGCACTCACAATTGAGTTATGGGGGAGACTGCAAGGTGGACCCCAAGAAACCCTGATGCAGGATAACAGATTTTTATAAAGCCCATGGCAAAGCAGCAGTATTTATGCTGCTGGATATACAGAAGTCAGATGAGATGCTTTGTTGGATCCCTTTGGGATGAGTGGCATGTACCTGGGACTTTCTCATGTTCTGCTGGATAGAACCTTCTCTTTTCCCTTCTCTTGCATGCTTTGATGTTCAGAGCACTGTGGAAGGACATCTGACTCACTGGGTGCTCATACCCTTAACGTGTGGGCCAAACTTTCCCAAAACAACTCATACAGCCCAGTCCCCAGGAGAGCTGCAGCACCTTGCATTGTCCATTGGGGTGATTTCTGGTGGGGGAAAGTCTGCAGCAGGACGGGGGCAGGTGACTGGGAAGTGCTGGAGATTCTATTTATTTATTTATTTATTTATTTATTTATTTATTTATTTATTTATTATAATTTTAATTTATTTAATTCAGGAAATCCTGTAAAGCCTTTCCCCCCCCGTCCTGCTCAAGGACAGGGCTCTGGCCCTGGGCTCCTGCACAGCTCTCAGCACTTCGGCTGCTCACCATTAACATGGGATTCATTGGGATTTTGATATGACTTTAACATCCCAGCTGCAGAACGTGCTCTCAGGTGCTTGGCACAGGCAGGCACAGGAACCATAACTTTGGTGAGACGTCAGACTGCCACATGGGGATCATCACGACACAGGGACCAAGGAGAGGCTGGAGCTGCCCCAGCCCACCCCAGTGTCCCTGCTGGAGGGTCTGCACTCACCCAGCCCGTTTGCACAGTCGTAGAAGTCAAAGCAGTGCACGGTTCGATCCATCCCGTACGGTCCCATGAGCGTCCTGGGAGAGAGAAGAGGAGCATCTTTCTGTCACAGGCTAAAATAAACAGATGCACAAGCACCCAACCAACACACACAAGCACATCCTCCCCACCACCCCGGACCTGGCCTAACACCACTGCAGACATGCAGGGTGAGGGCCACGGCCCCACATGTTACACCCACACTGTGGCAAAAATCAACCCCCTCCCGGCCCCCCCGGAGTTCACACAGATAAATGAGAGAATATGTGCAGGGTTGGACATCATCCTCCCCACCCTGCAAATCTGATAGACCTGTCTGTGATTCATTACCTCAGATTATCGGGGCTGGACAGCTGTCCAGCTCCCGGGAAATGAGATCAGAGCTCGGACCAATGCTCTGGGAATAAACCAGTTTCACAAATACAGGCAGCCTGGAATGAAGACAGCAAGGCACAATCCACTCCTGAGGTTTTTTAATGTGGGCAGGGGGTCTGGAAAAGGGGGATGCAAGATCTGCTGAGCCGCCTCAAGTCCCTGCCTGGCCAAGTGCAGGGTGGGAGCTTCTCATCACAAGCCAGAGATCGTACACCTGAGATTCTCCTAAGCCAAGAAACTCTCCCAAACACCCCACAGTCTCCCCGTAAACACCATCAGGCAAGGGGGGTGTCCCAAATGAATGACCCCAAAAACAACCAGTCCCACTCTGCCCCAACTGGGGATGTCAGACTCCAAACCCAGGACTGCTGGTGCTTCTCCTCCTTGGGTAGCCCGTGGTGGTCATCCCGATGAGGATGGTGAGCCTTGACCTGAGAAACCCAGAGCCAGACAAGCCAGGTGGAAAACCAGGACTGAGTGGCTCCCAGAACACTCCCCAGGATTTAAGTTGCAAGAGAAAAGGTGGTTCCAAATGAATATCAGGTCCCCGATCTGAACACAGATGAGGAGGAACAACGCCATGGGAAACAGCAGGTTCCTCTGAGTCCAGCGGGACGCAGGATAAGAATCAACTGTGAGGACTTTTCTTCTCAGGAATCCAAAATCCCAAAATATCAAGCTATTCTGCAAAGCCAGTAACACCCACCTCTAAGATTCGGACTGGAAGCTTTTTCTCCCTGTTAAAAAAATGCCTCTCCTTGATATTCTCGCACTGTTTCATGTATTCAAGACCGAACAAACCACTGGCCACATCTGGCTGTCAGAAAATGGAGCTTGAAGACATCCCAGGAAGCCAGAGCAGCCCCGGGCCCAGGCTGGTTCAAGTAACCACCCAGGATCTTCAGAGTACTTTGAGTAAATCACCGAGGAAATTCCACCAGGGGTGAACAGAAATAGCTCCAACCGGGCTGGGATGCGACATACGGAGAGCAGTTCGGCGGAGCAGATGCCTCCTTGATACGATCAACTCTTATCCCCGACAGGTGCGGGGACAGGGAGCAGCAGCAGCTTTGCTAATGCCAGAGACGCACAGACCCAACCCCAGGGGCTGGGGACGGTGTCCTTGGCTCCTTCTGCTGCGCACACACCACCCCTGCCACCCCACCCTGCTCCCGGAGAGCCACAGCAGGGGAACCTTGGCTAGAGGTGGCCACGGGCCCCCCAGGGCTGCCACTCCCTCCCCATTCCTGCCCCGGCTGGGGGGATTACCTGCTGATGATGATGGCTCCCTTGTAAAGGACAGAGACCGCGGGCATCTTGCTGGCGGCGGCAGCCCGGCCCTGCCAGGCACCAGCCGCTCGGATTTGGCAGGAATCCGTTAAAGTGATGGGAAAAAAAAATGGGAAAAAAAGGGGGAGGTCGGAGGGGGTCACGTGGTCTCCCCGTATGCATGTTAATTCCACCCAACATTAACACAGATCAGCTAAAAACATCCCCAACTTTAGATTAAAGCTTACGCAAGCCAAAGCCAACGCGGCCCATCGTGAGCGCCTTCCCACAGCGGGGCAGGAGCTCGGCCTCCCCCCCAGCAGGGCTGGCCCCTTCCTCATTAGCACAGTGGGCTAATTACTGGGGTGCATTGGATGGAACAAACCCCCCCCAGGGATGGAGGGCAGCGTTCAGTGCAGGACATGTGTGCTCAGCATCCCTAAAGGATTAAAATCCGTAGCAAAGCTTTGGAAGTAATAACAGAATGTAGCACTTAGGGGTTTAGGGTTGTTGTTGATTTTTTTTTTTCTTTTAGCATCTTTTCCAACCCACAGCATTTCCTTCTTACTGCAAAGCAAGTTCAGCTGTTCCACTGTCTGCTGGGAGGTCAGAATCATGATTTGCCTTTGAACAGCCTCTTCTGCCTCGATCCTGATGCACATCATCCAGGTGGAGAAGCAGGACCCCCACTTTGTGGGATGTGGGGATGGAGGGATGAAAAAAGACTGTCCAAGGTTGGCCAGCGAGCAAGGACGGACCTACAACAATCCACCTCAGGGCTTGGCAGGAGCAGGGCTGTGATCCTGGTGGAAAAGATCTGATGATCTTTTCTGAGAAGAGAAATCATCTGGAAACATGCTCCCCTGGAGCTGCAGGAGGACACGGATCCTGCATCCCAACCAGCTCTGGGGGACATCTAAGGTCACAGGAAAGCTCTCGGCCCTGACTCCATCAACAGTGTCCTCCTTGTGCTGTTCCCACACCCTCTCCACAGGCTCCTGGCCAGGCCCCATTAGTGGCACTTGACCTCGTTAGCTGAGCTTCATCAGATGTGGACGTGCTTGCTTGGGACTGCAGACCCTTTGCCAAATAATTCCTTGAGTCTGATGCTGTTGGATGGTATTTTTCCCGTGTGTGAACAACCAATTTTATCAGCAGGAGCCCCCCCAGTGGCCGCGTGAAGCCTCACAAGCGCAAGGTGCTTTAAAAGAGTGATAAATGGGAAAAGTTCTCCTCCACTTTAATTACTTTTTTTTAAAATGGCTTCCATTGAAGGCATTCAGATGAAATATTAAAAATCTGAGCAGACTGAACCTTTAGATGACCAAAACTTACCTAAAAAATTATGCCAACTAGACATCAAACATAGACACATCTGGCAATACATTACACCCCACCACAGCAAGACATGACCACACCTAGTCCATGTCCACCTCAAGGCTTTGGCCAAACCAGGCTAAGCACGAGGGTTGTACGTGGGGCCATGTCCCAGACTGTTGGTTCAGCCTTCACTGCACCAAGAGCCTCAAAACCTGCTCGTCCTCACAGCGACCCAAGGTCAGGGAGATGCTCTTTCTCCTGCCATCCTGTAGACAATGACCGGGCCATGGAGAGCCAAAAATTAAGGCAGGAGAGTCCAACACCTACTGACCTCCAGTTCTGGAGAAAGTGACTCGTTCAAGGCCCACCAGGAGGTTTTGAGGCAGAACACAGACAGGAATTCAACCCTGGGGTGTGGTGTGTTCCATCTGTGCCTGTTCTGCGGGGAGCTGCTCCACACCAGGGCACAGCTCCTCAAGGGGCAGGAGTGTCCTGGCACCACACCCAACTTGGGGTGACTTTTTGGGCAGCTAAGTTGTGAATGGATGCCCAAACAGCCCTCACCCACCAGCCTCCAGCCACTTACACTAATGATCACACTCCAGCTCCTCTAATGCACCAATAACCATCACAGTAAGAAACAATTTCCATCCCACGACCAAAATACAACGTACAGCCTTCTGAGGTCCTTTGAGGCTCTCCTGATGCATGGTCACATAATTATGCCTTTGATTCATGGGCCAGAGCCTTGGTTGGAATAAATCGGGGCTGCTGAAGGAAGGGATAACACAAGCCCTGGCACAGGTTGCCCAGAGAAGCTGTGGCTGCTCCATCCCTGGAAGTGTCCAAGGCCAGGTTGGATGGGGCTTGGAGCAACCTGGGCTAGTGGCCCGTGGCAGGGGGTGGAACTGGTTGGGCTTTAAGGTCCCTCCCAACCAAACCATTCTGTCATAAGGTGACCTCTTTGCCCAGCCTCAGAGGGGCTGCAGGAGAGCTGACTGGAGCCAGGCCAGCCCAACCCAAAACATGCAGGAAAATGGGAAAATTTCCCTGCCTGGCAATTCAGTAATTCACCCACCATGGTTTCTGCATCTCAGGGAACAATTTCCACACTCAGCATCAAGCAGATGTGTCTGACTGGGGTTTGAGTGCTCAGCACCTTCCATATCAAGTCCCTCAGCAGACCAACCACGGGCTTCCTCATCCTTCCCATGTGACAGTGCTTCACACCATCCGGGTGGGATGTTCCAATAAACCACAGGTTTGACCACGAGGATTCCATGAAAATGGAATCCAAGAGGCCCTCAGGGAAGAGGAGCAGTGCTCAGCGTCCAAGTTTATCTCCAAACACACAGATCCTCGATTGCTTCCTCCAAAACACAGTCTGAGCCCAAAAGCATCAGACGTTGATGCTGCTCCTGCTGATTAATGTCTGTCTTACTAGAGAAAGTTTCAGCAAAAACGTTTCAGAAGATTTTCAGAGTTTTTAAACCCGGAATCACATTCAGAAAGGTTCTATAACCTGCCCAGGGGTCCCAGTCCTGCTCTGTATAACCAGTATTGAAGGCAAACGTCCCTCTGGCAAAGGGGATGTGTCACCTGCTCAAGCTCTTTATGGAGCTGGGACCCTGCTGAGTAGCTCAGGAAATCCAGGATTCTTACTCAGGAAACCACCAGTGTGAGACTTTACATTTTTTAATAAAGGAGAGAATGGAAAGACTATGAATTAAGTACAAACTAACCCTATGGGGCTGGACAGCAAATAAACATGTACTCTACTTGTGTGTCCACTTTTTCATTGACTGATAGAAAAATTAGGAAAACTCATTGAACCCATTGAAAAATGGATTTTTTTCCCAATGGAAAAGTTATTTTTGCTAGAAAAATATATTTTTGATAGACAAAGTTGAGAGAAACTGTGTCAGTCAGCTTTACTTAACACTACCACGTATAAGCAGAGCTGGGAAACTGTAAGTGGAATCAAAACAAGGCTTAGAGCAGAAGCAGAGTTAAAAAATGCTGACAGCAGAACATAGCACAAGTCAGGTGCATTTCCAGTACGTTTTTCTGAGAGATAATAAAGGGGAAAGTGTGGGAGAGTGAAACTGGGAGCGCTGGGGAGAGGCACAGGAACTACTGCCAAGAGGAAGGTGGTGGAGAAGGTGATGGTGATGCATTTGGCTTCCAGAGAGAAAAGAGTTGAAGAGGATGGCTGAAATGAGCACAACCAATAGTAAAGTTGTTTCTTCTCATAATTCAAGTCTCCCTTTGTCCTTCCTGCACAGATGACAAGCAAACAGTGCTGGGAACAGCTGGACAGTGAGGGGAGGTGATGGGTTTAAAGTCATTGGGAGTGTTGGCATCCTGTGATCAACATGTGCAGCAGAAAATGCAGAATTACGTGGGAAGATGTCACTCAAGGCTCATCTCTTGTGAAACACACTTCCATTTGAAATTCAGGGGTTCCCTGAGTGCTCTCCCCAGCCAAACAGCCCTTTGCATCCTGTCTGCTCAGGTGGAGTCACCTCCAGGTCATGTTAAGGCCATACAGGCAATGAATAGAGCCATGAGTCTCCTCAGTTATTCCAGCCCCAACATCCAGGCTAAAACCCAGGAACCAGGTGTGGGGAGCAGCCGAGCCCAGGTATGGCCAGACCCCGTGGGGATGCCCGGCCTGGCCAGGTCCCACAGGGAGCATCCCTGAGTGAACCAGGTGATTAGGCCAGGACCAAATCGCCCCAAACAGAGGGTGGATCCCGGGCAGGATCCTGTGCTCTGTGAAGCAGCAGCACAAGGGTGCCAGGACGGGGTGGGAAGGATGTGCTGACAGCAGCATCACCGAGCCCACAGGGAGCCTCAGAGCACGGCTGAGCAGGGGAACAGGGTCCAAGTAGGTTTGCGTGGGAGGGCATTAGAGGTGGAAAGACATCCTGCAGTGGCAGCGAGGTCTGTCTGAGGGCTTTCGGCTCCGCAAAGCGGCGTTAAGAAGGTTGGGGGTGGGAGGGTTCACCTCGGCAGGGCACTGTGTCACAGTCGCTGCCCACGTCCCACCAGGAGCTACAGTGGGAGCCAAGGGCTGCCCAGGCAGTGTCAGGAACATTGGATCGTTTTTAAGTAGGTTCATTTTGTGACAAAACAAAATTAGCATGGGCTGCAGAGGCATTTCCACCCAATTAGAAGAGAGAAAAATGCAACTGTGCTGCTTGCAAGATCAGCTACAGAGCATTGGGAATAAATCAAAAAATAAATCAGCTGCTCTGGAGCTGGAAAGGAGTCGGTCACAGTGCACCCACACAGTGTTTCCATAATTCTACCCATGGAGTCACTTCAGATGAGCTCTTGAGATCAGAGATGTTCACAAACAAGTCTGAACAGAAGAGAGAACAAACAATAAGGTTGAAAGGAACCTCAGGGAGCATCTGGTCCAACCTTTCTTGTCAAAAGCATGTCTAGATAAGACTGCCCAGCACCCTGCCCGGCTAAATCTTGAAAGTATCCAATGTTGGGGGATCCACCACTTCCCTGGGGAGATGATTCAATGGCTTATTGATTGCATTGTGACAAATTTGCCTCTTGCATCCAACTGGAATCGCCTCAGGAATCACCTGTGCCCAAACAAAACCATGCTGCTGAAATTCCTGGTGAAGGCAGCAGGCAGGTCCTGTGGGGAGCACCCAGGGATAGGCAGCTCCATGCTCCTGTGCCTGCCCTCAGCATCAGCTGAGGTGGGCAGAGGGGTGGCAGCAGGTGAAGTGATGCTGCCAGCCCTGGGTGGGCAACACTGCTCCTCCAAGCCTGGGGTCTTTCCT